CAGTGAACTATGTTACTGTTTCTGTTCCATGTGCCTTTTTCTTAAGCTCCGGAATGTATCATCCTGAAAATGCCGGGAAGAACCCCCGGTGGAATTGAATACTCTCCGGACTTTTCTTTTCTTTTTTTTTTTCGTGTACTCGATATTTGTGGGTATGCAGGCCAATGGGGTTTATGTTTCCTTTTCATATGTTTTCTTTGCCTCTCCAGGTCTGTTCCCAGTTCCTTGCATACCATGGCGGTTTTCTTGTTTCCGTTCCACGTTCTGCTCTGATATTCCCTCTGCTAATCTCCGTTTTATATGTTTTTCTGCGTTTTTATCCCCCCTTATTAAATATCACTATTAACCCATCCCAAGCAGTTCCACGTCTGATGCTTTTCTGAATTTCTTTGTTTTTGTTAAGCTGTCCTTCAGCGTTGTTTCAACTTTCAGAGGACTGTTATTCTATCTTGTATAGACCCGATCCCGGGATTGCCGAGCATGGGCCTCGTGTCAGGCGCCCCCGGAGCTTGGTCGGAAGGGAGTTGTCCGGGCTTATGCATAGCCGAGCCTCCCGATGTCAATATATAAATTATTCCATTTGACTTTGCTTTTACCTGTAGATCTGATTAGTGTAGAGGGCAGCTTTGAGAACCTGCTATGGTTGGATAGCAAACTCCTAGCTCCGATGGGTTAATATCCACTTCGTGAGATAAACGGTAGAAGCACCTCAACAAGGAATCAGGAAATATATAGTATCCCTTCCAGTCTACAACATTTTCCTGAGGGCTCCGGCATTATATCCAAAGTTCTCGTGCAGAGTCCAGACCACAGAATCCCTGCGCCCCATTCCCACCACCCACTTCATAACAACCAAGTCCTACTAACGATTTTCCCGATAAAAGAGTTCCAAGGACGCGGGCTAGAACATCTTGAACGCATACACCGCCTGTAATTCATTTGGGCCCAGGTTCAAGAGTAAGTCACGGGAGGCACTAGGGCCTCGTCGGTGCACACAGTACGTGCTTCATGCAATGCGTCTGTGCGTTCGCGGGGTATCTAGGTTTGCAGGGTGAAGTTCGGTGAGCTCGGAAGTTGACTTATAAAGAAGTATAGGAAAATCAATTATGTTGTATGTTGGTTGAAGGTGAGATCAACGGGTTTTCGGGAGAGGAACAGGTGGAGCCGAGAACCGGATCCGAAATGGGCCTTTAAAGGCCCAGGGCCATGGCGGGTTGAAGTGCCTTTTATATTATAAAGGGCATTTTTATGCGAAAGAGAAATAGACATGGCATGATATGTCTCATATATCATCACATGTATTCAAAATCAGGTATTATAGGAGCTAAGAAGTTATATGACGTACTTCTCTATGTAGTACTCCAGAAACAGCCTGAAAAGGAGAAAAGGAATAAAAAGTAAAAGAACTAAAAAAAGGTCAGTGTCACTCGAAATGTCATGACTACAAGGTCCTTCCCCTCTTTCTCTGTACCTCTTTCTCTCTCTTTTTTTTTTGTGAACCTTCCTACTTACTGCTCTCACCCAATTTAATTCCATCTTTCATCATGTCAACGAACACAGTTGACCCAGAGCTACCAAGCGAACCTCGTCGGGAGCGTAGATCTTCCTTCGGAGCTCCTATTGCAGACCTCCAAGGTCCTGTCGGTCCGGGATTCAGTCGTCCCAAACACAAGCGTACATTCACTGGCCTTGGTCCCGCTGAGATCAAAACTGTGGAAGCTAGCATTCCTGAGCCACTGCGAGAGGCGTGAGTACCTTCCTTCTATACTTGCTTCATAGTTGGGCTAACCATATAATCCTGCAGCTGGAGAAAACATGTAGGTTGAGACAAAACTGGAGATTCGATTCTAGAAGACTAATGCGAGTCAAATTAGTCGGCCACTGAATTCAACACTAAAGAAGAATTCGAGGTGAGTCTGGCTTGTGTTAGTATTTGATACTTCGGGTCTAATGTATCTTATAGAAAGATCTCGTCCGCCATATTGAAACAACCCTCGCTCGGTCGATGTACAATTGCGATGAGTTGTATGTGCGTTGTGTCTTTCATTCGAGCTTTTGCTGACTTGGGCTTTGTATAGGGCCGCATACTCTGGAACCGCCCTTGCATTCAGAGACAGGTTGATCATCGAGTGGAACAAGACTCAGCAGCGTCAGACTTTCAAGGATCAGAAGCGAGTCTACTGTAAGTGATCAGCTCGGTGGCAGAAGACAATGGCTAATCGCCGTAGATTTGTCTCTTGAGTTCCTTATGGGACGTACATTGGACAATGCTATGCTGAATGTTGGCTTGAAGGATGCTGCTCGAGGTAAGCGCTAGGAGGATCTATGACCTGTATTATTGCTGATGATTCTAGATGGATTGAGCGATCTCGGATTCCGTATCGAGGACGTCATCAACCAGGAGCACGATGCAGCATTAGGCAACGGTGGTCTGGGTCGCCTGGCAGCGTGCTTCTTGGACAGTATGGCGACGCTGAACTACCCAGCCTGGGGTTACGGGTTGCGTTACCGCTATGGTATCTTCAAGCAGGAGATTGTCGATGGCTATCAGGTGGAGGTTCCAGACTACTGGCTGGACAACAACCCTTGGGAGTTCCCCCGTCACGAAATCACAGTCGACATCCAGTTCTATGGTAACGTCAAAAAATACCAGGATGAGAACGGCAGGATCTTGAACTCGTGGGAGGATGGTGAGATTGTTCAAGCCATCGCATATGATGTTCCCATCCCCGGGTACGGCACGAAGACTACCAACAACCTTCGTCTGTGGTCTAGCAAGGCCAGTAGCGGAGAGTTTGACTTCCAGAAGTTTAATGCCGGAGACTATGAAAGCGCAGTGGCCGACCAGCAAAGGGCGGAAACAATCTCAGCTGTTCTCTACCCCAATGATAACCTCGAGCGAGGCAAAGAACTGCGTCTGAAGCAGCAGTACTTCTGGTGCGCTGCCTCGTTGTTTGACATTGTTCGGCGGTTCAAGAAGACAAAACGGGCCTGGAGCGAGTTCTCTGATCAGGTTGCTATCCAGCTTAACGACACCCACCCAGCCCTTGCAATTGTAGAGTTGCAGCGCATCTTGATTGACAAGGAGGGACTGGAATGGGATGAGGCGTGGCAGATTGTGACCAAGACCTTCGGGTATACTAATCACACTGTCCTCCCCGAGGCCCTGGAGAAATGGTCTGTTCCGCTGATGCAAAACCTGCTTCCGCGACACTTGCAAATCATCTACGAGATCAATCTGTTCTTCTTGCAATCCGTTGAAAAGCGATTCCCCAATGACCGGGATATCCTGTCGCGTGTCTCCATCATCGAAGAGTCGCATCCCAAGATGGTGCGCATGGCCTACCTGGCCATCATTGGCTCTCACAAAGTCAACGGTGTGGCTGAGCTGCATTCAGACCTGCTCAAGACCACTCTCTTCAAAGACTTTGTGAAGATCTATGGACCAGACCGTTTCACTAATGTTACCAATGGTATCACCCCGAGACGCTGGCTCCACCAGGCCAACCCCAGATTGTCTGATTTGATCGCAACGAAGCTTGGAGGCTATCAGTTCCTAAAGGATCTCACTATTTTGGACAGGTTAGAGGCCTTTATCGACGACAAGGCTTTCCGCGAGGAGTGGGCTGCCATTAAGCGGGAGAATAAACTGCGCCTAGCCGAACACATTAAGGCCACCACAGGATACGATGTCAACCCCAATGCCCTCTTTGACGTGCAGGTGAAGCGTATCCACGAGTACAAGCGTCAGCAGCTCAACATCTTTGGAGTTATACACCGCTACTTGAGCATCAAAGCCATGTCAGCAGAAGAGAAGAAGAAAGTAGTACCCCGAGTTTCCATCTTCGGAGGCAAAGCAGCCCCTGGTTACTGGATGGCAAAGACAATTATTCATCTTATCAACAAGGTGGCCGATGTCGTGAACAAGGACCCGGAGATTGGCGACCTTTTGAAGGTTATCTTCATCGCCGATTACAACGTCAGCAAGGCGGAGATTATCTGCCCTGCTTCGGATATCAGCGAGCACATCTCAACCGCCGGTACCGAAGGCAGTGGCACGAGTAACATGAAGTTCGTCCTGAACGGCGGTCTGATCATTGGCACCTGTGATGGAGCCAACGTAAGTCTTCTTTCGCTTATATCCAACTTCGGTTCTAACCCAACTTGCAGATCGAGATCACCCGCGAAATCGGCGAACAGAACATCTTCCTCTTCGGTAATCTCGCTGAAGACGTCGAGGACTTGCGTCACAGACATTTCTACGGCGACTTCAAGCTAGACCCACAGCTAGAGCGTGTCTTCGACGCAATCAAGGACAACATGTTCGGTGATAAAGCTGACTTTGCCGCGCTCACAAGCTCCATCGAAGAGCACGGCGACTACTACCTCGTCTCGGATGATTTCAACTCCTACATCACCACCCACGAGATGGTCGACGAGGCATTCCAGAATCAGGAGGAGTGGCTTGCCAAATCGATTTCTTCTGTCGCGCGCATGGGATTCTTCTCTATGGATCGCGTTACTGATGAGTACGCTGATAGTATCTGGAATATCGAGCCTCTGGATGTTACGGACTAGACAGACTGGTTTAACATAGGCAGTGCTTTGTCTTGCATTTTTTTTTGATGATTCAAATGCGTTTTTTAATTGGTTACGAACTCATCAGCATCAGTTTATCAATATCTCTAGCATTAATAGTATATCAATTATATCGATTCTCTTCTATGCTCAATTCTATGAGTCATCCAGCTAACCATTCCAAGGTTCAAAGATATTCATTGATATTTATGCCATTGATCATAAGACTATATACAATTGGACTATGCACAACTTGGTATCTATACAAACTAATCCCAATATACAGCACCGTGTACAAACCCAAAGATCCAACCTCAAGGCAGTAATGACAAAAAATATCGAACACCCACTCCATGCCAGTGAAACGAAAACCCAACATGAAACATCAAACCATAATACGTCAAAAATCCCCCAATAAAAACCTATTCCTTAATTGTCTCCGGCTGCTTAGGCTGCGAGAAATAATCCGGCCAAAGCGCCATCTTTTCATCCTGCGAAGGCGTAGCCGTAGCCAAAAGCGTCGGAACCTATAACAATCAGTAAAAATCCCCAAACAAGTTCAGAAAGGATAAAACGTACAGCTTCCTTACTAGAAATCCTCCTCCACATATTCGCACGCGGGTTATACCGCACCGGTTTCCCAACACCACCCGTCTTCCGCTGATCCTCAAGACTAATAGCCTCAACCTCCTTCTTGATCTGCGAGAAATCATCAAAAGGAGTATACTCAATCCCATGTTCGATGCAGTACTCTTCGAGTCGCAGACCCCGTCGAGCAAAGAGAACATCTGCTTCACGCGCCGCGGCAAGATCAGACACGCCGTCGCCGATAAATACAATTAGCGGGATTTCATCGGGCTCGCATTCAGCTTGGGCTTTTTCGCGCGCTTGATTCACGCTCGCGCCCTTGTCGTGGCCTGAGTCGGTATTGTCGCGCCAGACGGGTTTCCAGGGGATACCGCCTGGAGCATCTAGGTCGTTTGCGACGATTTCAATTGAGGAGGCCTGGGGAAGGTTAGTGGGTGGGATACTTGGAGTGGATATCTGGCATAGGTGGAGTATTATCGTACCTCTTCTGCGCCTAGGAAGAGATCTAGGGTGCGCTGGAGAACGGGTTTTAGGCCTGCGCTGATTACGTTGAAGGGGAAGCCTTCGGCGACGCAGTATTGGTGGAATTCGCGGAAGCCGGAGTCGAGTTTGAGGTGTTTTTCCATGAGTTCGAAGCCGTCGCCGAAGGGGATGGTGAGGGATCCCCACATGTCATCTGAAATTTCGCGGAAAGTGCGTTCGCCGGTCTTGAATTGTTCTTCGAGTTTGTTGCGGTAGGCTGCGCCGCAACCGAGGTTGTCGACTAGGACATGGCCGGTGTCTTGGAGGAAGATTGTGCCGTCGAAGTCTGGGGTTGTTAGGTTGGTTTTGTTATATGGATTTAGGGCTTGGTGGTCGGGATTGGAGGGCATAGGGGTTATAGGGCATAAGGGATAGGGGAAGTAAAAGGGATTTACATACCAGAGAAGATGATGATCTTTCTCTTTTGATGAGGATTTGTCTGTGAGGTAGCCATTTTGGGTATATGTATAAAAGGGTTTGTTTTATAGGGGTGTGTATATATGGGGGGCGGGGAATGGTTTATATAGATGTAAAAAGGAATTGAAGCAAAATGGCCAAGTCACGATCCTAAAAGAACCTGGTATTTCGTGGCAAACAAGATAGACAGAGAAAATGACGTAGGGATCCCTAACGACATCAGTGTGGGCCAAAGGGGGGCTCATCTTAAACATCGTGAGATTTCATTGATATGACAGGCGTTGATTGGTTGTTAAGGAATTGTGGTCCAAAAAAACTCATAAATGCCGAATAGTGGAAAACCGAGGTCAAGTGTTTGATGAGATTGGTCAATATAATTGGAAGTGGATGCATAATACATCATCGATTTCATTTCAACGCTAAAGAGAATGATATATGGCTGTATTGGAGTACTTAAAACGTGCAAGGATCTAAGCCGTTAATTCGGCAACCCGACGTTCTAATTCCGGGACAGCTCGTAATTGCAAGTCCAATTCTTCTTTCTCACTGTGAAAATAGTTAAGAACTCGATCGGTTAAATCGGATCGGAGAAACTTACTCTTCAAGTTTTAACCGGCGCTCCCAGTCTAGACCAGTGAAAATATATCCGCCCTCTCCATCAAACTGCAAGATCTTCTGGTGATACTTCCAGAGACTGCGTCGGTGCGAAACAGTCATGAGGGTGGTGCCAAGTTTCTTGGCTGTCTCATACATGACCTTCTCAATTTCCAACGTCACTGAAGATGTGCATTCGTCTAAAATGGCAAACTTAGGTCGGTGATAGAACAACCGAGCCATAGCAATGCGCTGCTGCAGACCACCGGATAGCACGTCGCGCCATTCTTCCTCTGCATCCCAGCCCCCAGGACGGTCTACGACAGACGCAATTTCAACCACTGACAGGATATCGTAGAGATCAGCATCAGTGACACCCTTGGCACGCATTTCACGCACTCCATCTGGGTAAATCACTTGCTGCCTCAGGGTACCACGGGAAAGATAAGGTCGCTGAGGAATGTAGAAAATATCCTGGAAAGGCGGTTTCTTCACGGTGCCTCCATATACCGGCCAGAGCCCGCCCAAGATTCGGAAGAGAGACGATTTGCCGCACCCGTTGGGTCCGACGATCAGAAGATGGTCGCCCGGGTTGACGGTGAAGGACAGTTTACGCACCAATACGTCACCGTTCGGGGATACGATCGGTACGTCGGTGAACTCAATTGCATCGCTTTCTATGACTGTACCCCGACCAGATAGAACCTCTGCATTCTCTTCTGTGGAAGCGGAAGATACCAACTTTTTCTCAAACCTTCCAGCGAGGAGATCGTCCATCACTTCCAGTAATGAGGAGACACGCGAAGTGTAGCCAGCCAGTTCCGAGATCTCTTTGTAGGAGAACATCAATCGGCCAAAGGCATCCGAGGAGGAAAGCAACATTCGACGATTGGTGACGAAGCCTGGGAGTAATTAGAATGTAAAAATTCAACATGAAACGACAACAACTTACTTTCAGTGTGATCACCCATGCTGCGGTTAGCCTGACCAGGAATCTTGAAGAAGACAGGTACACTACAGAGAACCAAGCCCATGGCTCCCCAGAAATACTTGATCACAAAGTCCTCCATGAATCCATGGTAAAGCCGTCGGCGCAAAATGCGGTTCACATGCTTGATCAATGTGAAATAACCCTTGTCCAGGGTATCCTTCTCGGCCTCGTGGCCATGGTAAAGCGCGACTTCTTCGTTGTAATCAATAAGCCGCGAATGAAGGAAACGGAACTCGCCCTCCAGCCGGGCCTCATCGGCAACATATTTGCCAAATGGTGGAGTCAACATCCGCATAACATTGGCGGACAGCTGCACTAGCAGACTCATGATGAACAACCCTTCGCCTCCCACATTCTTGGAGAGCGAATAGTTGTAAATAACCATATCGAGAATGGGCTTAGCTAAATTGGAATAGAGTTCTGCCAGACTGTCCGAGAAGCGAGACACATCAACCGTGACGAGCTGGTCGGGATTCTTTATTCGGTCGTCCAGGGCGGAGATGGCATAGAAAGTCATGTTAGACAAATACTTCTCATGGATATAGTCCGTGAGGCGCTTGCGATAGCTGAGAGCAAGCTTGCATTGATGATAGGAGAGCTGATACAGAAAGTGTCGAGTTAGCAAATGTATTGAACGGTCGCATATCACCACAGGGCCGAAATTTGGGTCCCATCACCGGGGGACTTACCATAGAATTAGTGAAAGTAGCAGGGACAGCCACAATCATCCACCAGACAAGACCGAGCAAGAAATCCTTCCCTTTTCCGCGCACCAAGTTACTCACAAGCTTTCCGTCCAGCTCGGCGACATACAAACTAAGTAGCGTCCGCAGCACCAAGAAGACACTGTGGCTCACCAGCAGTCGTAGCTCTTTGCTTCGCCATCCTGGTATGACGATTTTCAGTAAACGAAGCAAGTTCTTGAAGAATTCCCGGTTGATCTCCACGCGCTTCTTCCGGGGCTGTTCCTCATCGCCTAGACTGCTGGTGCCGGGCCGTCGACGCAGCTCTACTTGCTGTGACGCGGCTTTCTGTTCGGAAATGGCATTATGGATTCGTTTGGCGAGTGCGGCGAAGAGGGCGAGATATACGGCGCGTGAGATTCGGGTTCGGTTTCGTAGGTAGAGGGTTGTTAGGCTAGAGAGGATCTGCTTGATGGACCGTTCGGGCGGTAATAGTTTTGACTGAACGGCCATGGCGGAGCTGTTGAGTGCTATCAGCCAGACTCAGGCTCATACATGTCCGCTGTTGGAGTTGAAGGAGAGGAGAAAGGTGCCATTGCCATGACGGAGGTGACATGTGATACCCCAGGAAACTGGGGGACGTTCAGCCGAGGAACCCACTCTTTAACTCTTCAGGTAATCTCACTCTGGGCATCGGCGATTTATCTTTATTGAAGCTTTTATTATTTTAAATAAATGGATCTATTCAAATTAAATACATAGTCTTATAGCAAATCCTGAGATAGGGCATTAGAATTTCATGTATCAAGGGGAGAAAACATGTTGGCCTAAGGCAGCAACACCATATTACTTGCAAAGCATTCAATGAGAATACATAGAGAAATTCCTTAATTATAAAGAGAGGCCCTGAAATAACCATATGTAAATACATAGCCATGCAAGATACAAAGTAATGGCAATGACAGTGATGCTAATGATGACAGGATACCGCCCACCGTGCCACGTATATACAAACCGGGAGTATGTGGATAATACTCAAAAGACATGCGCACATAGTGTATGTACAGGTATTATGAAACGCAAGCTTGCAAAAGAATACATAAAAGGCCAAAAACATGAATAAATATGGTAATAAATGAAAGAAAACTTAAGACGGGGACTTGCTCTCTGCTTCGGAGCCTGTCCGGAGTTCAGAATTATCCCTGGAACGGATACCACTGTTGATCTGGGCCGCAATCTGGGATTGCTTGAAACGCTCGAATCCTTCGGCATCTTGTTTCTGAGAATCATAGAGGTCATCGACGGTGGTTCCGAGATGGTTAAAGGCCATGTCGGCATCAAAGTCATCAAATTGACACAAAGACTGCTCGTCATGTAGAAGATCGAGCTTTTGCCGGAGAGCGGCAATACGTGATTTATCGTCGTCATAGTCAAAATCTTCGTCGCCGTCGCCAGGGACTAGAGATGGTTTGAGGAAGTCACGGCGGAGGTTCTGGCCAATGCGGTGAATGTGTCCTTCTTGGGAGGTCATGGCCCGGGAGTGGAGGGAAGTCATAGAGCTGGTGCGAGAAAGGCGGACCGCATATTGATCGGTGTCTTCCTCGTCGCCGCCAGTCTCATCAAGCTGACTGCTGTTCAAATTACCGCCAGCTGTGATGGAGCCATTTCCATCGTCATCACCGGAGTGTTGGGAGATGGTGTCAGGAACTGGAACAGCGGGCGGGAGTTGAGGAATAATACGAGTTTCTGGGTATTCATCTTCAAAGCGCTGGATCATCCTAGCTAAGGTCATGTCCAAAAATTGCAGGCGGCGATAGTTCGCGTCATTGCCAGCACGATCTTCGCGAATAAGAGCCGACTGGATCCGGACTCTAATGTTGCGCGCAGATTCCAGCAGATTCTTCGACATGTCGCGAGGCCGCTTAGTAGGAACACCTCGAGACTTGCGGCGTCGGGGTGTTGTGGTACCACTAGCGGGTAAAGATTGCTCCCCGAGGACATCGAGACCATGTTGGTCCAGGTTCCCAAGACAAACACCCAATGCTTTGACAACACCTGTGCCACCAATAACATAATCCTCGTCGGGAGCCGCCTCATCTTCATCATCGTAAGGCTCTTCGGAACCAACAGAATGTCCGACAATATGCTGCAAAATGTCTGGTACATGGACATCCTCAAGTGGAGAAGCAGAGCCCGAAAGCTCCTCTGCAATAGCGCCACCTTCAAGGTTCCGCAGCGAGTAAGCCACAATCTGTGATCCTAGAGCTTTGACAACTTCATTGTTTTCTGCGCTGGGCACATCGATGTCAACTGCAATGATTGTCCTTGACACACGCACAGCTGCCATCATAGACGCATATACAGCACATGCTTCTTCCTGAGCAACGGGATCTGTGGTTGACGCCAGATCCACAATCTGTTGATTCTCCAGAATGTTCAGATGACACAGGCTGGGACACTCCGGCAATACCTCAGCAAGACCAATAACATGATCCGGCGATAAGGTGACATCAGCGAGATGAAAACGCTTCAAAGAGGGCATTTTTGGCAAGAAGCGACGGAAAGCCCCCAGCGCGTTAGGCTGGGACGAGAATAACTCGCGGTTGTGCGAGAAATCGATAAACCGGAGATTATGGATCTGCGCAAGCGACTGGAGCAATGGATAAATAACCGACGGATTGAGGGAGCAATCCGCCAGACTCAGCGCATAAAGCGGTGTCTCAGGTTCAATCGCGTCTGTGATGAGATCGAGATCATCCTTTATAGCGTTGCCGCCTAGATCCAGTCCTTCACACTGTCCCGCTTTGAGGTATTCAACCACATGCTCCAGGCCATCCCTCGTCAGACCATTGTTCGCAAAGCCAAGCCTTCGCAGACCCATTTTGGTGGTCGCCTGGCAGATTTGTTTTACAGCGTCCACCGAAGGATAACACTCGCTCATGAGCAGTTCTTCAAGATGATCCCCAGCAAAGCGCTCTGCCAGGGCACTCGCGAAGACAATGCTCACATCGGCCATAGGCGACTGGGGTTGGCCCGTTGTCCCAGACCCATCGATCGCAACCTGTCCTTGTGGGAATGGAATACCCGATAAATCGATGGCCTTCAAGGATTTCGAGAGGTGAATAAAGAGACTGATGTGGCGCCATCCTTCCCGTCCGATCTTCGGGTTATCCTTCAGAGAAAGCTTTTCCACAACGCCGTATCGTTCATGATCATTGGAGTCTGGAGATTCCGGTCTTCGCGATCGTCTCCGTCGATAGCGCATCTGTTCTACCGTCTTGGTAGAAAGTAGAGCTGAAAGTATGGCTCGCACGGAAGCATCCGTCAATACACAATTTTCAAGGATGAGTTTACGGACTGGAACGACCGCGAGCCAGTCGCTGAATGTTGCCAAGTCCTGTGATGTCATCGGGAAATTGCTCAGATCCAAAGCTGCTACCGTGCCTGGTGACTCGGCCAGTGTTGATGAAGGCTTGGAGATCTCGTCAACAACTCTCTTGAGAACAGGTGTCTCACGTAGCTGGCAACAACGGCGATAGATCCGCACTGGATCGGTTGTTGGGTGACTTTGCGTTTTGGATCGAGGGGCACCTGGTGCTGGTGCTGGACCTCGGGAATACTCTTCGTCATTCTCTGCATCGAGCTGCAATGGAACCGAGCCATTCGCCACTGCTTGTCTTCGCTTTCTCTCCTTCCGTTCTTTTCGCTCTGCCTCGGACCTTTTCTTCTTCTCTTGCTTCCTTGATGGATCAGCCCCTTCTCCGCTGGGAATGGGGTCAGTAGATGGCTTGCTTCCGGTGGTATTTGTTGGTGGAGAGCTAGATTGAATCTTCGCATCACCGCTGGCCGGAGCAGGAACCGGAGCAGAAACAGGAGCCGGAGGCTCAGTTGCGTTATCCTTCTCGGCCAATGTACCCTGGGGATGCTTCAAACCCCCAGCTTCGTCTTGTTCCTTCGTCTTGAGATCGGCCTTCTTAGACTTGTGGCTATTAGACTCAGGTAGAGGCTGCCGTAATTGATTCGTTGGAGGGGCCTCCTCGTCATCGTCCCGATGAGAGATACCCGCGATTTCAACATCCACACAGAACGCAACCCGGTTGAGTTTAGCCTGGTTTAAGTCTGCGATCTTGCATCGGTGTCGATTTTGGTCAATGTTCATCACGCGACGCGGGCAGATCGAGCCATTGGGGTTCAACTTGGGCAAGCCACCCGAGTTAGATGAGAACTTGCGCAGTGCATTGTGAATGAACGATGGCCCCTTAGGTGACGACGAAGTGAAAGGATTGGAATCGTCTTTCTTCTCTTCCTCCTTGTCCTTCGGGGAATATGCGGCGCCGAATGGGTTATGCGTATCGAGAGGCGAGGTTGTCTTGGGACTTGCGGGACTGGCCTTGAGACTAGATTGCGACGGTGGTGTAGATCCAGACGAAAACTTTGAGCTCAGACTGGATATCCATGAGTTTCGCCGGCCGATGGGTTTAGGAGACGGCGTAGATGGCTTTGGCTCCTCGATTTTTTCAACTGGTGGCGGTTTGTTTTGTACTGGCGATGCGTCATTTCGGGGAGCTTGCTTCGGTTCTGAGGGTGGCGGTGTTGGGCGTGCCGGGTTGCTGTTAGAGCGAGATCTCCTGTGCGACTTAGATTGAGATATCGGCGGTTCTGACTCGGCGCCAGGCTTGTCGCTCGCTGACACTGACTTTGTGCGAGATAAATGGTCTAAAGAGAGTGTTAAAAGCTGTGCCGATCTCGGAACTCTAACACGCCGCTCATAACCTAGGGTCAGAGAAGATGCTATAGAAAGTGGCACTCACCTTTTTGTGAATGATGAAGCCAGCTCACGTCCACAGTCTGAACACCTTCCATTTTGAAATCGCTCAAAAGTCAGAAGATAAAAAGGAATGTAAACTCGTGCCCAGGAAGTCGTTGAGAGTTTATCAGCGGTGTGGCGTCGTATAAAGAGCGCAATGACTGGATAGGACTAGATCGAACGACGCATAATTGGCTGGTCCCCCACTTTCGAGTGATGATCGCAAAATATTAAAGGAGAATCAGGTGGACAATATAGCCCGATTAGAATAAGAGAACGTTGGTAATGTTGAAAATATTGGGAAATGCCGGGAAATGCTGGGAAACGTTAGGAAATGGGGAAATGCCGTATGATCTGAGCTTCAAATGCGCCCTCCACCCAATATCATATAAACAAATGCATAACTAGTAGAATGCAAGTGACTAAAATGGAGTCCGGATGCAATTAAGCAACAGAGGTGACATAAGGGGAGGCACGTGAGCATGTAACATGCAATTTACTGCAAATTTTGATTGGACATTTAAATAATTGGAGTGGAATTTTGAGGGAGGCCAAATCCGGAGAATGTTCGGATCTCCGTATAGTGGACAGCTACATCGTGGAGTCTACAGTGGATTAGACGGGAGAATGATTTAAAGAACATTTAGTTCGTAAAAAAAGGAGTGTCGAACACACTCAAGAAATACGGGTATTCGCGATACGCCTAAGAACGCCACACCATTTCCTGGAGAAAAGTGCCGAGCAATAATAACAAAAAAACGCAAACGCCTCCGAGGGGTATGCGATGAAAAGAAAGTCATCACGGCATCAAGCGGACGGGAATAATAGTGCGGATTCCACCCTTCCCCACATAAACCCCTATTTTAATCCATGCCTGGGATATCCTTGAGATATTCCCAACCGTACTCCTCTTCGGGCTTCTCGGCTTCCATGCCAAGCGCAAAGCGGTAGGCACGAACTTCATTCTGGAGACCAGAAATGACGCGAGTGGGGACATCATCTTCTTCACATTTGAGACGATAGGCGGTGCGGATCATTTCGGCACATTTCATGGTCTGGGCATGCCAGTAGTCCCGGTCAAGTCGGCTTTCCAGATGGGCGTCGCGCTCAGCCTGAAGGAGATTGTTGTAGTGCTTCTTCTGCGCAAGGTAGTGCATGTTGTTGTTCTGGCAGTAACTGCGGATTTGCTCGACCATAACACCCACGGCGGTCTCAAACTCCTGAATCATCTTCCAGTTTTCCTCGCGGTGGTACTTGTGGTCCGCGCTCACACGTTTTTCCTTGGCCAGTGCACGCTCGAGTTCGGCAATCCGAGCGGCTGCTCCAGCTGTTAGTAAACAAGGATGTGAATATTGCCAGAGGTCAACATACTAAGGTTTTCGCCCTGCTGGCCATTCGCACTAGAGCTGTCCGCAATACCGTTCTTCTAAACCTATGTTAGCTAGATATCGAAGTTGAATGTTCTTAGGTTCCCACATACCACAATCTCCTCCGCATTTGCGACGATGTTCTTAGTCACATCTCGATTGTTCTTCAACACGTCGCTCAATTCAACAACCATCTCATAGAGATGGTGCAGGTCCATCTGATGGCCAGCGTTCATCGGAATTGCCGCGCCCATGGCGCCCATTCCACCGCCATTGATCTGGGTGGTGACCGAAGAGTGGGAGGGAGAGGGGGACGGAGTCTGGCGGGGGGGAATATTCGGCATGTTCATCGTGCCGGTGTTGTTTTCATAACCCGAGAAGTTTCCGGGGCCAGTACCGTTACTAGCCATGGCGGCGTTGTTCATAGAGACGTCGGCGTCGGCGAAAGCTCGGTTCAGTTCCTCAAGTTGAGGATCGTCAGGAGTGAATGATTGGGGAGCGCCGTTGTCTTCGTCGAACCACGAGGCGTGATTTTCAACGCCTAGGACCTCCGATTGAAACTTCTCAAGGTCACGGCGAGTAACGTGCGTGGAGCGACGGCGATGCCCACGCGTGAAAGCCTTGGAAGGGGAGGGGGAAGTGTCGCCCTCGATGATGGCGGGTGCACTCAAATCAGGGACAGTATCGTCACTATCACTCAAGTCTGAATCAATGGCAAATTCGTTCAGGGAGCTCTGATCAGAATCACACTCCAATAGGCAGCCAACAAGCGTGTTGTGCTGGGAGCTCACGCTAGCAGCGAGTGGGGCTGGCGACGAGTCAGCACGTGATCGAGATTCACGTGATGACCTCATCCCAACAAGCTCCCTCATCTTCTCGAGGGCACTCATTCAGATAGAGAATGACAACTATGCTGCAAGTCAAATCGACAAAAAAAGGACACTCTAGAGGAGTCGGTTTCCCAACATATCGGTGGGGCGAAGCCTATTTCTTTCCGACCGCCGGACGAAGGTGTAAGTGTAATCGATTGATGACGGTCGAGATTTAGAGACAAAATGGGCCCTCGTCCAGTACAGAATGCTCAATTATGCTTCGGTGCAAGGGCACGTGCTCTATAAGGTCTATAATTGACTTTCTGCAGTCATAATTGATACGTACCTGCCAATATTTCTCTTCCGTTGTTGACATCCATGAGGTTATACTATGTGCCCTAATGGAAGGTACATAGATATCGGGATCATTGTAGCTAGGGCAACGCGCTTGAAATCAAAGTACAATCCCAAGGAAACTACAATCTATAAAATAAATCAGAAGAATTAACAATGTGTAATCATCTCGTATGGCAAGTAACTTCGTTGTATGCATATGTGGACAAGGGGTATTTTGGTTTCATCAAGGCATATCCAATAGGGCTTCTAATCTCTGATCAGAGCCTGGAAGTGAGTAATCATAAGTTTCAAGGGCACCGCTACTTCTTTTCTGCTGTGCAATTCGGCCTCCAACTCTAGCTACGAGCATACGCATCTTCTCCAATTCTTGAACAAGTTCCCCATCCCTCGTGATAAGATTGGGTTGAATGTTCTTTTGGGGATCTTCGAATGGCTCAAGCAATCGTCGAAGATGCTGCAACTGATCAAGGCGCCGTTGCCGTTGCTGCCGTTGGCTGTCAAGACTCGTGAGCCGCTCACGGAGCTGCTGATACCTGTACGACTGGTGTAAGGCAGTTGAAACTTCAATGAACAAAAATCCGGATGTGTATTTTTAAACTGACCTTGCATGCTCCTCTTCGCTTGCTTCCGGAATTTCCAAGTCAACAGGCATCTTTGCAATGTTTCTAATATATATAGTCAGTGTTGTTATACCTTGTATATAAATGGATGGGATCTTACATCTCCCTTGACAAATCCGTTGTTTTTTCGATACCTCGAGCAAAAGCATCTCGACTTTGTGCCTCTTGGCTAACCGACGACCAGTACAAGTTTGCAATCTGTTGGGCGACATGATGTATCGCTTGGGATGAATAGACAACGCGATTGTGCTGCTTAGCAGCTGCATTTACTATATGACTATGAGTATGATATTCATCGCCATATATGGGTGCAAATCCATATATAATTGTGCTGTTTGATTGAGGTTCGTGCTCTGACCTTTATGTAGAACATCTTCGATCACCTTGTCACTTAGATCACCTTCCGTGGTTTCAGCAGCATAGTTTCGCCAGTCTTCCGGGAGATCGAGGCTCTCTGAGAAAATGCGGACTTGACTCCAGATAAATGCAGATTTCAACTCAGTTATAGTTCGAGTTGTATCCATTTCGAACACAATCTAAATGGTGTTAGAGAAGTACCATTGTTGAGTCTCCAAAAAGTCCCGCGATCTTCTCTGAGCGCGTTCTTATCGATAAGGGATCACGTGTCTCTCCGCAAATGGCATTTTACAGATGGCCAATATTGATTTGGGTAATAAACCACTATAAAGCGAGAGAAATGATTTTAATAGTACAGATTAACTAATAATTCAGTCGCAATATACGGCCTCAATAGGGTAATAATGAAGGTTGCTAGTGTGGAGTATATCCTCGGTTTAGAGACGTACCTCGGCAATCAGACCGTCTTTTAGGTCCAGATCGCTCTCAAAGTAATTCAATTCGTTGCGATTTCAAGGTCATCACAACACATTTAGAAATAAATTGCGATATATCTTGAAGTGAGCTCTACTATCTCCGACAGCCGCATTATCATCTCAACATGGCAGAGATCAAGCGGCCAATAGGCCTACTGTTTGACATTGGAGGAGTGTGTGTAAGTCAGCCACTTGACCCGCAAATTGAAGATATATATATCTGACAAATTTCTAGGTTGTATCTCCGTTCCAGGCCATTCTTGACTATGAACTTGCGCAGAACATCCCACCAGGATGGGTCAATTTTAGTATCTCGCGAACAGCACCGAACGGTAGCTGGCACAAGCTTGAGCGCGGCGACATCAAGATGGACGCGAACTTCTTTGCGGGGTTCAATGCGGACCTAAGAGACCCCGAGCTATGGAAACAATTCCACCAACAACTTCAAAAGAAAAAAGGCACAAGCGGATCCACCATCCCTCCACTGCCGACAGTGGATGCAGAATGGCTATTCTGGGAGATGATGCGGATATCTCGCACGCCAGACCGATATATGTACCCAGCTCTGAAGAAATTGAGAGAATCGGGACAGTTCCTGATGGGCGCTCTATCCAACACCGTTATTTTCCCCGACGGACATGAATACAATAACGCATCCGAGGTCAAGCAGCAATTCGATTTCTTTATCTCGTCTGCGCATACGGGCCTTCGCAAACCCGACCCAAAAATCTACCAGGTGGCGTTACAGGAGATGGACTCTTTAGCTAAGAGGCGAGGGCTGGCCGGAGTTAATCCCGACGATGTTGTGTTCTTTGACGACATCGGGGAGAACTTGAAGGGAGCGAAGAAAGCTGGCATGCGTACAGTCAAAGTCACACTTGGAAAGACTCAAGATGCAGTTAAAGAACTGGAGAAACTCACAGGCCTTCAATTGCTGGATGAGGATAAGGCACGATTGTGAGATGTTATAGAAATCGGATTTCTAGAAGAATATCAGAGTCATATGTAGAAATGATGAAGAATAAGAGGTTCAGAATATTTTCTTGATTTTTATTAATTTTTCTCAATTTTTCTGAATTTATTATCTTTTATCTTTTTCATTTTCATAGTAGAAAAGTTGATGTTCCACTCGTCGCCGACCTCATTTTTTGGCGGGGGATGCAGCCACACGCTAAGCGAAATCCCGCACAAAGTCGATCCACGAAATTTCTCACTTCCTTTTCTTCGTCCATCTCCAGCGTCCTCGACACCCCCGTCAAAATGGTGAGTTCAAATGGTTGAAGAGCCATTATGCATTCCTTTTGCATTTCTATTTCCTCTCCGATTGTATCGGAGCCGGGTCCCTGCAAGTTGCTTCGGCGTAATTTCTGAAGCGTTAATTGCTGACTCGCGTTTTTGACAGCCTTTCACCAAGACCGTCAAGAACAACGCCTACTTCAGGTTAGTAAAATTCTTATTTGTTTCCCCCCCCAAGATATCTGTTTACTGACTTTTGCAATTATAGTCGCTTCCAGACTAAGTACCGTCGCCGTCGCGAGGGTAAGACCGACTACTATGCTCGCAAGCGCCTGATCACCCAGGCCAAGAACAAGTACAACGCCCCCAAGTACCGCATGGTCGTTCGCTTCACCAACCGCGACATCGTCACCCAGATCGTCTACTCTGAGGTCACCGGTGACAAGGTTCTCGCTGCCGCCTACGCCCACGAGCTCCCCAAGTACGGTATCGAGCAGGGTCTTACCAACTGGGCTGCTGCCTACGCCACCGGCCTGCTCCTTGCCCGCCGTGTCCTCAAGAAGCTCAACCTTGACGAGCAGTTCAAGGGTGTCGAGGAGGCTACCGGTGAGCACACTCTCACCGAGGCCGTCGAGACCGATGATGGCGAGCGCCGCCCCTTCAAGGCCTTCCTCGATGTTGGTCTTGTCCGCACCTCCACCGGTAACCGTGTCTTCGCTGCCATGAAGGGTGCCTCCGATGGTGGTATCTTCATCCCCCACTCTGACCGCCGTTTCCCCGGTTACGACATCGAGTCCGAGGAGCTTGACGCTGAGATGCTCAAGAACTACATCCACGGCTCTCACGTCTCCGAGTACATGGAGAACCTTGCCGATGAGGATGAGGAGCGCTACAAGTCCCAGTTCGTCAAGTACATTGAGAACGAGATTGAGGCTGGTGACCTTGAGGAGATCTACGCCGATGCCCACAAGGCCATCCGTGAGGATCCCTTCAAGGCTGATGAGGATGCTGGTTCCAAGAAGACCAAGGAGGAGTGGAAGGCCGAGTCCAAGAAGTACAAGGTCGCCCGCCTCACTCGCGAGCAGCGCAAGGCCCGCGTCGAGGAGAAGATCCGCAAGCTTGCTGCTTAAGCGTCTCGCTTCCTATCTTTACCAAAAGTTCCCAATATTTCCAGAGGGAAATAAGCTACTGCCGGCGTTTATTTATGTGATGTAGTTTTTGACGGATCATGGCACATACCACTTTTTACTTTTTATTATCGGAAGGGGTTTTATTTTCCTGGGAGCAATTAGTTCGGTGTTCATTTAAGGCAATTTTCTTTACTCAGTTCTAACTGCTCCCGAATGTCCATCTGTCTTCCCTCATTTGCCTTGCATTTGCCTTGTAGCTGGGAGTAAATTGTTTAAAAGTACAAAGTACGAAGTAGTTCATGAGTATTTAAGATTTTATTGCATCATGCCATGGTGGTGCAATTCCCAAATTATTAGAAGTAACCCACATAATTAAAATTAGATCGACGCCGCAGAATGTGATGGCCCCAACCCCATTGCCAGCACATTTGGTGGCTGTTCAAGCAGCAAGGATGCAGGGGAAAAAAAAGGCTAGATAGTTCCATTGTTTACCATTACCCGCTTTAAAAAGCTGTTTGGTCCCCGAGATTGAAATCGCTCAATTTCATCCCCTCTGTATATATATCCCTCACCTAGATCCCACATTATGAGAAGATATCAACAACACACACACGCAAGTTGGCATCGCGCCTACGCAGATAAATTCGATTGCCCCTGGTGCCAAACCCCTCACCGGGCAGAATCCACGACACAGAACCGAAACCGCAAACCTGCAAAGAGCTCAGCCAGTGGCAGAACTAGCAGAGCAATTGCTACATCGACACCACTCGGACGTCGGATAGAGCAACAAAGCTCTAATTTTATCGACGAGGCCGCCGGTACCCCACTCCCACAGACTCCAGGTCCAGGTCCAGCTCCGCATGCGAATGAAGAGACACCAGAATCCGAGACAAATTACCCGTGGTATAAGGGCCGCACTGATGCCGTGAATAACGGGTTCGCGTCAGATACGCCGCGTCCGCCGCTTCCCGAGGAGTGGACGAAGGAGATTGGGGATCGGGAGCATGGGTAGGTGGTTTCTAGATGGCTTTGGTTATAGCTGGTTTAGTCCTTACGCTGATACGGTGTTGTCGATAGTGCTGCGGAATGGACCCCACCGGCTGTGGAAGATTGGCGGTCTGGGCTAGAGACGCCTGCGGATTTGAGAGTGCCTGCTGGGGAAAAGATCGACTCTCCGGAGTTGAGTGTGAAGGAGGTAAAGGAATCCGGAGAGAGACTTGGTTGAAGTAAATAGAGACACAATATTCATATTAAACTATAGATACAGAATTATGCTTTGCTCGAGTTTCTAGTATGTCACAGGCCCCGGGCCCCGTCCATTCTGACTTGACCAGCATCTCTGATGCATGATTTGTGTCAATGCTCTCGCTCTACATCTTCCATCCTTCCCCCGGCGAGAGTTGTAGCTTTGCATCTTGCAAGGTACCGATTCGTCTTGGCCTGCGCTTCTTCAAATTCCCTGCGGAATCTCATGGTTTGGCTATCATTCCTTGGTAGCCGAGCTAGTAGAGATCTGAAGTCCTCTATATTAGCTTTCGACTCGGCTTCCATAGCAAGCACCAGTTCCATTTGCTACCATTCATTCTCCGCATCCTCAGTTTGGGCCATCAGTGAAGTCGCAGACTCCTCAAAGTCACCGAGAAGCATTTGTTGGCTTCTATTCAATGCTAGGAGGGCTTCTTTGCATTCCTCGCTCGATCCCTGGCGCAGGAGAGCCTTAGCCTTGTCGTTGCCACTAATGATCTCTGCCCGTGCCCTGTCTAAGAAGTCGAGTTCTTGGTCCAGATCTAAGTCTTGGGATTGGGGTTGTGATTGAGGTTGAGACTGAGCCTGAGATCGCCCGCGCCCTTTCTGACAATCGGGGTGCGGCAAACATATCCACTTGCGGAGACTGGTCTCGAGAATGGGATTGAGATGGGGCGCCTGTGTCTGATTCAAGTCTTGTAGTCCTAGCTCGAGGTGGTGTTGCATACCAAACATCGTCACGAGCACGGCGCATGTCTGCAGCCATCAGCTGGAATACCTTGCGGAAACCATCGGGCTTTTGCCAGAGAGAACCATTTTTCCTTTTGTAGGCACGAAGCTACCCTTGATGATGACCGATCTTTCGTGGGTTGCCAGACATTTCTGCACACTCGAAATTTGGTCAAGCTCCACCTGTTCAAGGCGTGGATCGGGGTATTTCTTCTTAAGCTGCTCCAGCGCTTCTTCTGATTCAAATATTTCCCACTCTTTCCTTGTTCGACTGTACTCCAATGCTAGAAGAAGGAAAGAGGGATCCTCGCCGACAACGCGAGATAGCAGAGACTTGGCCGTTTGCCTTTCATCCTTCAACTCGGCTTCCTTGGCTCTTCTTTCAAGGTCTCTATTGATTTGTATTTGACTTTCCCGGGCCTTGTCCAATTCCGCAAGGAGTGGCTCAAGAACTGTCTTATCCGAGATTTGAAGCAGCAGAGACTTGGCTTTATCAAAGTCATGCCGCTCTTTTGCTTCGTTGCTTTTCGTTATAAGGTCTTGCACGGAGCTTTCCCTGCACATAGATTCAGAATGCGCGTGCAGAGAAGAGCTAAACGGGTCAATATGTCGGGGTCGCGAGGCAAGAGGTGTAGGTCTATCTTCTACCGACGGGGATAACTTATTTGTATGTCTCAGTAACGCTCCACAGCAATGATATTACATACCATCCGAACTGATCTCAACATCGAATCCAGTCTGTGACAATGTCCGCTTTGTGGCTCCATGCTTTGCAGCTCCCTGACTCGTAAGGTTTCCTGACGGGCCCGGAAATACTGTGATACTGGGAATACTTGAACGTCTCGGACGTGGGATGGGTCGAGGCGAAAGTGCTGAGATACGCGAACCTGTCCGTGGAGGCGACCTCGATTGCATCACGATGTTTCGAGGGGACGGATACTTGAGGGAATGGATATGGGAACGAAATTCACCCAAGAGTGGTAATATTCGAGGACCACGATCACTTGCAGCCACAGAACGTACTTTGGCCTGAATATACGTCCTGATACGTTTCCAGTGCCAGCCCGCAACTCCCCAAAATTGATCAGCAACACGGTGCCAAAAGTGGATATTGCCTTGCGGTTTCGTGTAATGCTTTTTGTGTCGAAGGCATATTTGAATCAGGATTAACTGCTGATCAAAGCTCAATGACGGTAATTCAGGTCGGTCCCACTGATACTCTCGCACCACTATCGGACCGGGGATTACCATACATGGGTCGCGAGGTATCGCCGGTAGCGTCGGTGAAGATGAGCTGGTGCCTAAGGAATCACCGAGCCCTGCCTGCATAATTTCGGAGGAAGGCGGTTGCCCAGCTATGTGAACTTCCCGAGGCTGTCTTCGATATGCAGCTAGAGATTGCACATTTAAAGCTGGCAGACCGTACCATGCCCTGTCACAGGCATCGCGCATATCTTCAGCCATCATCTCAAAGACCTTGCGGAAATCAGCAGGCTTTTTCCAGAGAACACCAGTTCCAAACATCTTTTCTCCGACAAAAAGACTATGCAGGTCGATGGATCTCTCTTGGGGCCCATTCCGTTCTGTATATTCAAAGTACTGTGTGAATTTCACCTGTTCGAGGCGAGGATCGGGATATTCCTTCTGGAGCTCAACAAATAGTTCCATGTGCTCTTCCTTCAGACTTAACCGTGCCTCACTGTATGCCAATGCCGCAAGGAGGAATTTGCCGAAGTCGCTTTGGATACGAGATAGGAAAGATCTTGCCTTCTCCCAGTCACCGTTCCTCTCTGCTTCCTTAGCTTGCCTTTCCAAATCCTTCTCCATCTCATAAAATGCCGATCGTTCCTCTTCTAATTTTCTAAGGAGTGGCCCGGAGACCGTGTTTTTCGGAATGCCGAGTAGTGATTTCTTGGCTTTATTCCAGTCGCCGGCCAAGGCTGCTTGCTCGCTTTGCTTTTCAGCCAAATCGGATAGATGACCTGATGCGTCCTTAGGTTGATCATATAACAAGCTCGGGGCCTCAACATGGCCATCGCAGCTCTCTGCACTAACACCAGCCTGTGAGTCCAAGAGGACTTTTTGGAATCTCCCGCAATCCCTTTTAAGAAGTAAAGATAGAGAAGCAGCTTTCTCTTGGTTATCATTGTGCACTTCTTCTGCAAGGTCCACCATAAGCCCCAAGGCTATATGGGCCGATGGTAGTTGTGGGTTCGAAAGTATAGACCTAGCTCTGGTAAAGTCACCCTGAGCCAAAGCCTCATTGCACTTGAATAATGCCACGAAGGCTTTGGGCCTCTTGCCTTTCATCTGGGACACCAGAGAACAGGCCTTAGTCAAGTCACGATCAACAAATTGTGCCTCCACAATCTCTTCTTGGAGACGTTTGTTGTATTTCTCCTGTATTGCTTGTCTCTTTTCCAACGCCATAATAAGTCGTCCCGATCTCAACTTGTTCTCCATCAAGAGCAGCGTGGATTTGGCTTTCTCCCAATCACCGTCACTCTCTGCTTTCGCGCTTTCCATTTCGTGGTGTTTCTCCTTTTGGTCATGCAGTTTTGAACGGGACTCCAATTCATCGAGACATTGTTCGGCTTTATACATGTCAGAGAGATTAAACAGGAGCTCCCTGGCCTGATCAAAGTCATAGCGCATTTCTGCTAACTTGCTCCGCTTCAATATGTCTTCTTCGATCTCTTCCACAGACATATCAACTTCAGGAACAGGCTCCAGAGGTCCTTCTTGGTGACCATGTCGTAGGTTATCCAACTGTCTGACGCCGGTAATGTGATACGCCATTCGCCATAAAAGTGATTCGATCCGATAACCATCAGGGTCGACAGGACGAATGGTATGGTCCGCCGTGCGATATTTTAACAACTTGCGTTGAACCATAGATTTGACGCCTAATGACCCCAAGTTGTAGAGACGCTTGAAATCTTCCGTAACACATCCCCAAAAGCGATCATTGCTGGACAACTGTGAGTATAAATGTTTATACTTCAAGCATATTCGGAAAAGAGTTACCGTCGCAGACGGGGATGTTGCTGTTTCAAACGTGGTGCGCATAACTAAAGAGCTGTCCCATTCTGATCTTTCTATGCTCGGGATCGGGGAAGCCAGCTCATGACTAGCCAGTAGTCTTGCCATTGAGAGCGGAGTATTGGTGGAGACAGGATTCAGCCTAGCATGTTGGAAATTGATTAGCATAGAATTGAGGGATATCTTGTAATCGACAACTCACTTAGCGCAGCCGTCTACTACATATTTGTGGTCTGAAGGGCAATGTGGGAAGGGTGTTAAGTGCTGGAATGTGGTGGGATGTGCGACGCGACGCGTTTTAGCCCTGGCACCCGTGAATAATTGAAAGATCTACTCCGTACTCCGAAATTGGCCCAGGTAAGTAAAGTGACTATTGTGAAAAAACATATTAAAAAATCACAGGTTAAGTCCACTGTGAGTCTTGTTATGATATCAACTGCTGTATGCCTGTTTGCTAGTCCAGATTCTCGAGACCTTCGTTTGCTGGTTTGCTAGTTTGTTTGCTAATTTATTTGCTAGATTTACGGGAGCATAGCCTTTGATATTGAATCGTACAGGGCGGCCAAGAGCGAGGCTAGAATCAGACATCAATGCTTTAATATTTACCAAAAGGGGTTCTGCCTGTTCCTTCATATGTTCTACTATACATATCTCTCTCCCTTCACCATCTCTCTCTCACTGCATACTCAACAAGTCTCATAGGAAGGAATGATCCGATACCCAGATGGCTAGCGAGAGAGATAGACAATGTAGTCCCCGCACGACAAATAGATCTTACATCAATATATAGCATGCCAATCTCCAGGTCCAGTTAGTCCAGGAAAGAAAGTAGTACCTTGTAGAACGCCTTGGGGTCCTGGAGAAAGGGCGCATGGCCTAGACCGGGGAACATATGGAGCGTACAATTGGGGATCATGGCTGCGGCAGCAGGACCGAGCTCAGCATAATGGCCCAGTTTTGCAGCGATGGCAGGGGGTGACCATGCTTTTCCAAGCGCCGAAACGTCGCTATCTCCCACCAGGAGGTAGGTGCGTGTCTGCAGGACAGGGAACTGGTGGATAACAGGCTGGCTGAGTAAAGCATCGGTGACGAGGGCCATCACGTAGGAATAGTCGGAGCCATAGTCACTAGCATAGATGTCGGCTAGCATGTGAACCCAAGTATCATACTCTGGCTTCCAGGGGGCATTGTGGAAGTAGCTAGCCTGCTCATACGCCTTAAGAGTGGTGAAGTTCTGTACAAGCCCGCTCTGGTACGACGCGTCGACTGATAGGTAGGGCACACCCTTGGCTACCCAGTCCTCCAGGCCCAGGGGATTGACGAGGAAAAGCTGTTGAACGCTGGTTGGGTACATAAGGCCGTAGCGAGCAGCAATCATGCCGCCCATCGAATGACCGATTACGGTGACTTTATCGATGCCCAGCGCAGTGAGCAGGCTGTGGATGTTCAAAGCTTGCTGGTGTACGTTGTAAGCATAGCCTTGGGGCTTGCTCGATTTGCAGAAGCCAATGTCATCGGGAAGGATCACTCGGTACCCGGCAGCCGACAGCTGGCGCGCGGTGTCGGACCAAGTGACGCCACAGAAGTTCCCGCCGTGTAGCAAGACCGCTGTCTTCTTATTCTTGTGGCTTTCTTTTGCCGGTACGTCCATAAACGCCATTGAAAGGTTCTGGCGCTGATTGAAGAAGTTGAACTGCTTCACCGGCCAAGGGTAGGGGTAGGTGGATCCATATAGGTCGGCTGGCACAGGGCCATCATAGATGGCGCCAATTGGGTCGGGATCGGACTGTGCAGATACGACATTTGTATACGATAGCACCGCCGTGAAGGCACTGACGAAGGAAAAGAACTTCATTATGTGCTCACAGAAGTGCTCACACAAGGATCAAGCTCTTAATGCTGTTTAAACAACAAAGTAGCCCTTTATAGAGTGGGTAACAGGAAGACAGCCCTGCGGACTTGCCTGCTAATGCAAACGTATATATAGCAGAGCCAGGGGCACGAATTCCGCGTTGCTACCTATATGCAGTTAGTTACTCCGTATCTCCGGAAGATAAATTGCGTTGTAATCAACTGCAATCTTACTAGCACGTATTTGGTGTAGTCAGGTTGAAGAAATGAAGTCCAAAACCAATGATGAACGTTGGCCCCAATTCTCGAACTAGCGCCTTCAACGCCCGGGCGCCATGCATGAAATTAAATGTGAGCTTCTATTCACACTAACTGGGAAAGAAATTGATACTCTTAACATGCTCCTTCCGTTCTGAAATTTAAAGTAGAAGATATTTCCTAAAGAGGTTAGCTAAATTCTGTGTCATTCTTTGATCGACTTCGTCATGTTTGTTCTTATGTAGTCCCCTTTCTACTTTCGCTCATATCTTTCCCCCTCCCACTTTTACCAACTTATCTCGCAATGCAGCTATATCTAATCCGCCATGCTGAAACAGTGCATAACGTTGGAAAAGTCCTGTAGGCACTCCATTTTCCTACTTCCCCTTGGCTCGCACTAACACTTCCTATGATAGCGCGGGCACCACTGACTCAGCACTAACCAGCCACGGGATGGCTCAGATAAATTGCCTTGCTCAGCATTTCGTCTCCAATTCAACAAAATTCACGACTGTCTTTTCTTCGGACTTAAGTCGAGCAAGAATCACAGCCGAGGGGGTCTGTCACGCACAGGTTTCACCCGGTGAAACACCATTGCAACCGATATTGACTCAAAATTTAAGAGAGAAGGATTATGGATCAATGGAAGGCCGCTTCTGGAAAGAATCTCCTCCATCACCAAGGCCCCGAGACTGGGTCATCCCGGAGTCCAAAGAGTCGATGAGAAAGCGAGCTAAAGGATTTTTCGAGGAACACCTACTCCCACTTCTAATGTGTGACCCACACGGCCAACAAAATATCGCGATCGTTGCCCATGGCATTATCCTCCGAGAGCTATGGACATATTTTGCTGAGATCTCCAATCCAGCGGATACCAGCATGACTACGCTTCATAGGAAGCCTGTGTGGTCAAACACCGGATATATGGCGATACTGATTACCCCAGACCTGATAGAAAGGACCATTCTGCCTACGGTCTTGACAAACTTCAAATTTGTGGTGCTGAGTATTGACGACAAAAAGCATCTTGCCAACCTCCATCGAACTAGGGGTGGCGTTGGAACCGCCGCGCATGACGTGAACCAAAGAAAGATTGATCAATTTTTCCGACAATCGACCACCTAATAGAGAATCTATGGCTATGTACAGGTTCAATTTTCTTCACGATGGCTGAAGGATTTAGTCGGTGTGGAACACTTCCTCCAAGGGCTTCCACCACCCTGGACCCTCCGCACTGCCCACGGCTCCAGGAATAGGGCTCTCCTATTAATAGGGTCTTCGGATTAGCTCCATATCTCTCCAGTTGTGTTAGATCGTCGACATACCTGCATTCCATCAGTCATAGTCCACCACTCTTTCATTTTAGGGAGTGATGCCATGCTCTTCATATCAGCTTCGAAGTCTGTTCCGATATACTTGAAGGTCGCGAACAGAGTCCGATCATTATCGAAGTAGATTGAGTCTTCATCGGCGAAAATATACCATGTCAGCCAGTGAGAACATACAGTATTTTTATACATATCTTTGACATTGAAACTTACAGTCTACGATGTTGCACTCCTTGATCTTTTGAAGAATCTCAGGCCAGACATTGGCATGGCACTCCTTGTATGCGGCAACAGCGGAGGGCTTGAGGTGCACGATCTGGGCAAAGCGGCGAGGTTGAGATTGAGCCATTGTGACGAGATTTGGAATTAGAGTAGAATACACAAAAACCAAGGGAACTCATTTATGCCCCTCTTCGCCCCAGCTTCAACCCGCACTCGGAGTACGCTAACCCGAGAGCTTGGCATATATCCGTACTTTTTTTAGGTAGGGAGTGGATACCGAGATTGCATATTCTTGTCGTGTGCAGAGTCAATATTGTTCTATGAAAGATTAACTATTCTAGAATTAGTCTACAAAAGATACCTAATACCTAATCCTTACAATTCGATCGGTGTTTCCTATCCCAACATTATGTATCACCTGAAGGCTTACTTATGCTGCATAAAGTTATGTACATTATACTGTATACAGGTAGGACCTCCGAAATATTTGGCCAAATCTACCCCAAGCGCCAAAAATCCCACGAGGTGGGATATTGGTGCACCAAAAGTTGAATTTCCACCTTCCGTCAAAAAATCCATTTTTATTAACTTCTTATCCAGTTTATTACTGCACCATGTCAAATGAAATGAAATCTGTCGAGGGTAGAATCCAGGATGCTATCTCTGCCTACCACCAAAAAAAGACCCCGAAAATGAGCGTAAGCCTCAGACACATGTCGACTCTGTGCAGAATGATATGGCCGATAAATTAGTGCAGCGGGGGAGGGATAAAAGGCCTAGAGATCCGGACAACTCTAGCCAGGAAGGTATGTAAAAGTTGGTATATTTAGGTTATATTTTACTAATTATAATATAGAAATTGAGCGTCCAACAGTCCGGCCACGGACACGACCCCCCTCACCGCCGGCTTCCTCGCCATCATTACAAACAGAAATGGCTTTATTTCTTAGTATAATGAATAGCCAGGCAGCTAGTGAGGCCTCGACCGGGGCTAAAAGGTCAGATATCACCAGGCTAGAAAGTAGAATCGATAGCATGGCTGCTACCATGGACTGCATGATGGGTTTGCTTAGAACCCTTGTACAAAGGCCGCCAGGGTCCAGTTAAGCCTCATTTATATAAACTAAATTACAAACTAAGAAGAAACACGGATGTATCGAGAAGTATTCGTAAATTGAAATAGGTATTCGTAATTATTAAAGCACATATAAAATCGCTCTCAGGACATCTGACTCTTAGGAACAGGCCGAATCCAACAAACGGCCAAATTAGCCGCCAAACATATAACACCGATGATCCACATCGATTGCCCGTAACTTGATCCATTGTATCTGAACACAATAGCAAAGACAATTCCTCCAAGATTACCAAAGCCACCAACAATACCAGAAACGATACCTAGTGACAAGATGTTAGCTTCAAATCTGGCATTGGAGTAAGAATGGGGTAAACATACCATTGGCAAAAGGATGCACATGGGGCACAAGAGCAAAGTTGGCTCCATTAGATGCCTCAAGGAAGAAAGCCATTCCAGCGATGAGACCGAACATAGACGCCTCCGTGGACGGGCTCGACAATCCAATCGCAAGTTGGAAAGCTCCCATCGCAACTCCCAAGAAGGTAATCAGAAGCTTTTTAGACCAGACCTTGTCTGTGTAGCGGTAGACCAAGTCACCGAAGAGACCGCCAGCGGGTCGGAAGACGGCATTCAGCAGACCGAACATAGCAGCCCACTGGCCTGTTTTTGTTTGACCCATGTGTGGGAAGGTCTTTGTGTAGTAAGATCCCAGAATGGAGTTGATTGCCAGCTCTGAGCCAAATGAGCAGGCGTAGGGGATTGCCAGAGCCATGGTTGATAGACTCAGTGCCACGTTGAGGGCCTCTTTGAAAGTTGGGGAGACGACTGTTTCTTGTTTGAAGATGTCCATCTGGCCCATTGCTGATGGGTCAGATTCTAGGACTTGCGGTGACTGGGCGCCTTTCTTTTCGATGTCGATTGTTGCGGCATTGTGGGGGGTTGTCATTCCGCTAGTGAAAGCGCCGGAGTTGATGTCGACGATGTTTCCGTCGGTATTCGTCTCTTTCGCCCAAAGGTGTCTCTCAGACCACTTTCCTGTTGGTGTATCCTCGCAGAGGAACAGCATACCCAAGGCGATGAAGGTGATGATGATGAATGGGACGACGTAAGCGATACGCCATGCTTTGTGCGAAGGGAGGCCCCTGGAGTGGACTAGGGAGTCGTAGATGGCGGGCATAACAAAGCTGAGTTGGTTTGTTAGTATATTCATAGGATCAAATAGAGAAGGTAGACACATACTATGTAATTCCTCCGCCTGCATTACCCCAGCCTCCAGCAAGGGAATTGGCAGTACCGACAATGCTCTTGTCGAAGAAACCAGTGCACCAGACCTGGCAGGGCACGAAGGTTCCTCCTAGAATTCCAACGAAAAATCGCAGAGCTATTAGGCCCTTGGGGCCGGTGACGAGACCGGCCATGGCTGTAGGAATGGCTCCACAGAGGAGTAGTCCCACGAAGACCAAGCGTGGGCCATAGCGATCACAGAGTGGGCCTGCAACAAACCGGACGAGTAGACTGTAGCGGTCAGAGAGATGTTTCTTTCAATTGATCCCATATCTGGTACTTACGTTGCTAGAAGAGCGACAATGTTTGAGTTGGCGACATCATCTTGTGTCATATTCAAGTCTTTTTTAATTGTCACACTCAGCTAGACAGGTTGATGATATTAGAGACGCTCTCTTGTGTCTATCAAACATGCTGTAATTGTATCTTGAACTTACCAGTGGTGGAAATGCATACCATGATAGGAATGCTACCAGGAAGCCAAGCCACGAGAAAAAGAATACCCGTCCATATTGATCGAAAGGGTTCAATATGGGAATAGATTTGGCTTTGCGATTACTGGGGTTAACTTCTGGTGATATAAAAAGCTGTTTAACAAAGCCTGTTGCCATGATGGGATCTTTGTATTGTCGACCGATTGTGTCGAGGTAGGCTCGGAAGCTGATATTCTAATAAAATAGCTCAGATAATTCGATACAGACTTGTAAATTAGATGGAAGTAAGAGCTTCTTTGGAGATTTAGGAGAAATATACAAGATGGAAGATAGAGAGACATTCGCATCTATATAGATACTGCTGATGCTCTGTTCGGTGAAGTATATCTCAATTGTATCTCGTCGTGACACACACAACAACAATCAGTCTGCAAATCCTGCTGCATGTCAGGTTATCCAATTGTCGCAGATAGCTAGGTGCTCCCAATGGAAAATAGTTAGTCAAGAGTTACCAGGGAGTATCCATATCTCAGATCGCTGATTTGATACAAACCAAAGACAAGGTTAGAACAAGGATCATCGGATCCTTGAATTCTAAAGTTACTTCTCGCCACCGATCTCATTCCTGAAAATTCCGCCGTACCCTTTGCTGAAATTCTAATAAAGATAAGATATCAACTTGAATGACCTATCACAGTCTCGGAAGTATACTATGCCAAGTGCCACAATTGGAAGCAAACCCTGATCGAATGAATTAAGCTACTTCATGTAACTCCGCGGACCTTCAATCGACTATTATAGGCTTACCGGGTACTCCATAAGATCATGTCGGGTCTGGGGGGCGTTGTTCTCCACAGCGGCCAGGAATCTATGTTGATAAACGCGAGCCTCCTCATTGGATGACAAGCCAACTGAGATAGGGACTGAAGAAGCTCAGCCTAGCGGGTCTTTTCGTTAAATAGCGATATGAGCTCCGCGGAAATACTTAAATCTAGCAATGGTGCTTGTCAATTGGTGCTGGAGTTCAACGGGAGTCAACGGAGTCAACGGGAGTCAACCCTAAAAGATCTGGTATCATCCACCGATCCAAAATTAGGGCTTCTTTTTTAGTAATTTCTCTACTCGGTAGTGAAGCAAAGACTTCCTACCAGTCTAGACGGGTCTTTTTTTTTATTTTCCCAGACATTTTGAGTGTGTGCGTCCACGGGTAGCTCTATATTCAGTATACCGAGATAAGGAATCTAGGCGATATTGACTGCCCAGCCCTAGAGGTGTGCGAGCATAATTGCTCAGCAATTTGCATATCCAAATGAACATTATTTCTTATTTCTCCTTTCTCCACATAGCATATCAGAAATATTGAGAACTCTTCAGAAGGATATGAAAAAGATCGGTGGCCATTGTTAATCCCTCCAATGAGGTGGAAGTAAAAAGCGGCTACATTGAGGCTCCGTACTTATGTCGGTAGATGGATATTCGGGCCCTTTTTATATAACCAGGTGTTGAATGATATAATATATGAACAAGTTATATACTCGTATATCTGACAATATATCTACATAGAATGAGTGATAATGGGAAAAACGATGCAAAGCAAATATATGTATTCTCATGTATTCTCATAAGGCCATTAACTATTTCGATAATTCCATACGCCAACCTGTTCCATCGCCAAATTTCAAATAAACAAACATGTCACACAACAATTACCAGTCAATCGACTTTGCTGGCTGCACCGTAGGGGTAGGCAGGAAACCATCCGTAATCTTCTTCCCCTTCATCCCCTTGAACTTCTTATCAACCTTATGGAACGGATCCTCCGCCTCACTTTTGCGCACCTTCCACTTTTCCGTCCCCAAGATCGAATCCAACTCCTCAATTGGCGGGAGTTTGATATACACCCAGCCATCATCCCTCTCCTCAACAGGGAATGTAGCAATATTCATACTCTCATCATTAGAGCACCGACCCGCCTGCTCACCGTTGAGCTCAAAGTTGCGCTTGTGATAAGGACATGACACCCAATATTTCCCAGCATCATCATCACCAATAAGGCCATCAGACAGAACGAAAGCTCGCTTATGCGGACACATCTGCTGCGTCGCATAGAACTTGCCCTTGATCTTAAAGACAGCAAGTTGAGTATCACCGCGCTTGACATTCGCCGATGAAACCTGAGGTGGCTCGTCGGAGAAATGATCTGCTCGAACAACCGGTTGCCAGGAGACACTCGACCACTTGTGGCCTTTGAAATCCTGTCGCTCGGCAGAGTCTTTCGGCCAGTATGTGGGTCGTTGCTGGGACCGCTCTTGGATAACTTCCACTGTGTCGACCGTTTCGTCTGTGTTTGCAAATTGTTGGAAGACCTTTCGGCGCTTGGGGTCTTTGACGGTCTCGGTCCACTCGCAGAAATAGCTATCGACTAGTTCGTGCATTTGTCTTTCCATGTCGGCGCAGATTCCGAGTTTATCATCCACGATCACTTCTTTGAGGTAGTTGATTCCGCCGGGGAGATTCTCGATCCATCGTGCTGTTCGCTGGAGTTTGTCGGCAGTGCGAATGTAGAAGATAAGGTAACGGTCGATTATGGGCATTACCATCTCCGCTGGTACATCTGTAACAAGGAGCTCAGCGTGTCTAGGCTTTGCACCTCCGTTGCCTCCGACGAAGATGTTGAACCCGGTTTCGGTAGCGATGAGTCCGAAGCTGTGAGCTATTAGCGAGTGTTCAATTCAACATTGTGGGACTGTTTGCTTACTCCTTGTTTTGAGCTTCGGCACATTCTCGCACGCAACCAGATACAGCTCCTTTGAACTTGTGAGGCGCACGGATACTCTTGTATCGCTCTTCCAACCGAATTGCCATGCCGACACTGTCACCGACACCGAAACGACACCATGTGGTTCCAACACAACTCTGAACGTTCACTGTTAGCTGGTGTTCTCTTCGAAGGTCATTAGTTTAACGTACTTTAATTGCTCGAAGTGCCTTCGCATAGGCGTGTCCACTCTCCATGCCCGCATCCACAAGTTCTGTCCAGATGTTCAGAAGATCCTGCTTCTTCGCACCGAACATGTCGATGCGCTGGGCACCGGTGATTTTGCAATAAAGACCGTATTTCTTGGCCACGGATCCAATAGCAATGAGCTTATCGGCTGTGATTTCACCACCTGGGATTCGGGGTACCACAGAGAATGTGCCATTTCTTTGGATATTAGCGAGGAATTTGTCGTTTGTCTCCTGCAAATCGTTGAAGCCCTTGTCCATGATGTGCGGATTGAACAGACTGGACAGAATCGATGCAATTGCGGGCTTACAAAGTTCGCAACCGAGGGAATCTGGGTTCTTTCCAACATCTTTCATGATATCGACGAAGGTTTTCAGTTGCTTAATAGCAACGATGTTATATAGATCGGCGCGGGAGTAGGGGATATGTGAGCACACTAAACATGTTAGTCGTGACGGGGGATAATACTGGGGTAAGTTGATATCACTAACAGTTGTTTGATACTTCTTGTCCCATTTCGAGCATTGTTTTGTTGAAGATTGATTGAACGAGAGGCATGCAGCCACCACAGCCTGTCCCTGCTTTTGTGCATGACTTGACTTGTGCAATGGTTGTGCATGTACCATTCTTCACATTGTCGACCACGTCTCCCTTGGTGACATTGTGGCATGAACAGATCTGGGTGCTGTCATCACTGCAGAGATGAATTAGGATCCCTTCCAAATAGCAGAACTCTAGGATACTTACAGGTCATCTGCATTTTCTTCTCCGCCGTTCTGGGCACCGAGGATAAATTGACTAGGAGGAACATCAAGTTCTTTCTGGAGTTTGACCATCTGGTTTAACTTCAGATAATCCTTGGTATCTCCAATCATCATGCCGCCAAGCAAGAACTTGCCGTCCATGGTGAACAGATATTTCTTGTACACCCCACTGAATGGATCCTTATATGTCAAAGCCTTGACAGGAGGTTCCTCTCGTGAAGCATCCTCTGCCAGGCCAGAATCAGTGGGGGGTCGACGACCTGGAAGGAACTTCGGTCCGTCTCTGTCGGCGAAGAAGTCACCGAAACTAGCGACGTCGACTCCGAGTAGCTTTAGCTTTGTGCTGAGATCTGGCCGCGTGAAACTCCGGGGCGGTTTGTCTGGGTTTGTCAGATTGAAAGCGAGCACATCGGCCATCTCAATACCGGGAGCAATAATTCCAAATGTCTGGTTCTCCCAGCTTGCGCATTCTCCGACGGCGTAGATATTTGGGATTGAGGTTTGAAGACTATACAAGTTAGTGATATGACTGGGTATCCACAACTAGTAATTGACGAACCTTTCATCGATCACAAATCCGCCCCGAGTACCACACTGGATTCCAATATCTCGACCCAGTTCATCTCGAGGTTGTACTCCAATCTAAACCCAGTCAGCATGTGCATCGCCAAAAGAAAATCAAGAAAAAACATACCGCAAAGCAAATGCAGCAACAATCAATCCTCTCACCATCCTCGAATGTAATGCCAACTACATTATTTCCTTCGTCGGTATGAACAATCTTCACCTGTTTCTGGTGTAGAACATCAAGTCCCAACTCCCGGATCTTGCGAGTGACCAGCATTCCCGCATCTCCATCCAGCTGTCGAGCTAGCACCCATTTATTTCGATCAATTAATTTGACATTTCCAAAGTCTTCTAGATCTGTCATGGCCTTGGCAGCTTCCAAGCCCAGCAGTCCACCTCCGACTGTAACAGCTGTTTCGCCTTTATGCTGAGCTGCAAAGTCGATGAGGCGTTCCAGATCCGAGATAGTTCGATATACGAAGACGCCTTTGGCATCGTAGCCGGGGGTATGTGTTGGGAGGGTGGCATCGGAGCCAGTTGCAAGGACGAGGATGTCATAAGATAATGAGACACCGGTGGAGGTATGAACGGTTTTCTCCGTGGGGTTGATAGCTGTTACTCGTGTGTTGAGGTGGTGATCGAAGGCTCGTTCTTTAAACGAGTCATACTAAGAAGCAATGTTTATCAGGACTTATGTTTCTTCACTCTAACAAATAGATAGCTTACCCATTCCGTTGGATTGAGGTATAGATCCTCAATTTTGCGATGTTCGAAAAACGACGATAGTCCAACACGGTTGTATGCTACGTGGGACTCTTCACCAATGACGACAATGTCGTATATTCTTTCTGTATCCTGCTTGATAATTTTCTCACTTGGGCTGTTAGAGGAATTCTCATAGTCGGCTGATAGAATCCCTTACATGAGTGAGACCGCCACCATTCCCAGTCCAACTATTACAATCTTTTGGCGTTGAACATTGTTGGTACTTGGGCTGCCATCGACTGGCTCCCCATACCGTAGTCCATCTAGAACAGGCATGGCTGAGACTAAGCAATGTGAGATGAGTTTAATGCACTACGGAATTGGGTGTTTCATGCTAATTTTAAGGAAATAAATGCCTCGTTCCACTGAGTCTGATACTACGATGTGATCTGTGACACTACCTATTGAGTCGTACAAATTGAGGCTAATCAGACCACGAAACCGGAGAAAACAGGAACGAGGGATTTCCTGAGATAGTCGATTTTATCTCCGCGGAGATGGGAGTTTTTATGTCGATTGTGATTGGTTGTTAGGGTTTCATTCTTATCTCGACATCTATATGGAGTAGATAAGAATTTGAATATGACTCGGCAATTATAATCCTATACTCCATAAAGGAATGTGGAGTTTTGGAATGAACAGAATCCGCGGAGATCTAGTCCTGTGCTGATGGTGTATGGTATTGGGCTGATGGTCTAGGGCTATGTATACTATGTTGTAGTGAAATGTGGGTATTTACAGTCTCACGTTAAGACTGTTTTGATTTATTATACTTGGAATTCTACCATATTTTTCATATTTGGAAGCAATTTCGACAGATTTTCTATTATATTTTCTATATTTTCTATTATATTCCATTACATTCATAGCACACAGCGTAGAAGCCTCGCGCCAATACCATCATGACCACCATAACCACACAAACGATAACAGAATCAGAGACTATCTCTTTCAAGAATGCCCAGATCACAGTGGAAGACATCATTCCAACTCCAGGAGAGCCTGATATCCCACTCCCACCACCATCAAAGAACCCCGTCGACATCTTAGAGGTCGATAAAGGGACACCAGATAACCATGTACCTCGCGATCCACGATTGATTCGGTTGACAGGAGTGCATCCATTCAATGTGGAGCCTCCATTGACAGCATTGTATAAAGAAGGTATCCATTCTCATCTGCCATACCCAACTCGCCAAGCTAAGCCGATACCTAGGTTTCCTCACATCCCCGGAACTGTTCTATGTTCGGAACCATGGACCGGTACCCCAGGTCCGCGATGAGGATATCCCTGATTGGGAGATCAGTATAGAAGGGTCAGTGCAATCCTACTTATGCTTGCAGGCTTCGTGTCCAGATGAACTGATTGATGAGCTAGATTGGTTGAAAAGCCATTAGTCCTGAACTTCCGCGACGTGCTTCAGAAGTATGACCAGATCACGGCACCCATCACACTCGTCTGTGCGGGCAACAGACGCAAAGAACAGAACACAGTTCGGAAGTCGAAGGGCTTCTCATGGGGTGCGGCTGGTTTATCGACGGCGCTATTCACGGGACCTATGATGGCGGATATTCTGCGCAGTGCGAAGCCACTTCGACAAGCAAAGTATGTCTGTATGGAGGGTGCTGATAAGCTGGTAAGACTTTCATATCAATATTTTAAGGGTGTCGGGAATCATCGAGCTAAGACTGACGAAACCCATAGCCGAATGGATTTTACGGAACTTCAGTCAAATTGAACTGGGCCATGGATCCAAATCGAGGAATCATGTTGGCTCATAAGATGAATGGCGAAGACCTTAGACCAGATCATGGCCGTCCATTGAGAGCAGTGGTGCCTGGTCAAATCGGAGGTCGGAGTGTAAAGTGGCTGAAGAAGTTGATTCTGACTGAGGCTCCAAGTGATAACTGGTATCATATCTATGATAACCGAGTGCTCCCGTAAGTCTCAGGTGAACTGACCGTGAAATGAACCGTGCTAACAGTGCCAGGACAATGGTGACGCCAGAGATGTCCTCCCAGGACCCCAAGTGGTGGACCGACGAGCGATATGCCATTTACGAACTCAACGTCAACTCGGTGGCTGTATATCCACAACACGAGGAAGAGATCGATTTATCCACAGCTGGACCCACATATACAGTCAAAGGATATGCATACGCCGGGGGTGGTCGGAGGGTAACAAAGGTTGAGGTTTCTCTGGATAAAGGCAAATGTATTTACACCCCTGAACCCAAGGATGAAACATGGCTGACATTTCTGATCTTCTAGCATGGCGCCTCTCCGAGATCGAATATGCAGAAGATAAATACCGCGACTTTGATGGCGAGCTGTTTGGCGGCAAGGTAGACATGTGGTGGAGGGAAGCATCTTTCTGCTGGTCTTTCTGGTCTTTGGAAGTCCCAGTGGCGGACCTAGAGACCAGTGATGCAATTCTAGTCCGTGCGGTGGATGAGGCATTAAGCGCTATGCCGCGGGACATGTACTGGTCTGTCTTGGGCATGATGAATAACCCATGGTTCAGAGTGGCGATCACCAAACAAGGGAATACGTTGAAATTTGAGCACCCTACTCATCCAGCGAAAGCTGGAGGGTGGATGGAGAGAGTCAAGAAGACTGGCGGTGACTTGCTCAATGGCAACTGGGGTGAAAGGGTCGAAGGCGAGGAGCCTGCCGAACCGGAGCCAGTGAAAGAAATAAACATGAAGAAAGATGGCGTGAACAGACAAATCGACTTGCAAGAGTTGAAAGCCAATAGCACCAGCGAGAAGCCTTGGTTTGTCGTTAATGGCGAAGTATATGATGGTACAGGCTTCCTCGAAGGCCACCCCGGAGGAGCGATCAGTATTACATCTTCTGCTGGTCTGGATGTATCAGAGGACTTCCTTGCAATCCGTGAGTGACAAATCAAAAATTCTCACAATATTGCACCGCTAACTTCTCCCAGACAGTGAAACTGCCAAGGCAATGATGCCTGATTACCATATTGGCACATTAGACAAGGCATCTCTCGAAGCGCTGAAGAGCGATTCGGTCACAGGCTCTGACGTGAAACGCGCAGTGTTCCTTCAGTCACGAGCATGGACAAAAGCCACTCTCGCAGAGAAGAAGGATGTATCCTGGGACACACGATTATTCGTATTCGACCTGGAACATGAGAAACAGACTCTCGGCCTACCAATCGGCCAGCACCTGATGATCAAAGTCCAGGATCCATCCAGTAACGAGGCAGTCATCAGATCCTATACGCCAATGTCAGACACAAACCTCATAGGCAAGATGGAGTTACTCGTGAAGATCTACTTCCCAACGGAGACCATTCCAGGAGGAAAAATGACCATGGCTCTCGACAAGCTTCCCCTAGGCTCAGTGATTGACTGCAAGGGCCCGACCGGCCGATTTGAATATCTCGGCAACGGCCGGGTTTTGATCAGCGGCAAAGAGCGCCATGTCCGTTCGTTCAAAATGATCTGTGGAGGAACGGGGATCACTCCAGTCTTCCAGGTTCTGCGGGCTGTCATGCAAGACACACAAGATCCCACGACGTGTGTTGTGCTGGATGGAAACAGGCAGGAGGAAGATATCTTGTGCCGTTCTGACCTTGATGCTTTTGTTGAGACTGATTGTCGGAAATGCACTGTCGTGCACACCTTGACTAAAGGGTCTGATACCTGGACCGGTCGTCGGGGCCGCATTTCTGAGGAACTGCTCGCGGAGTATGCGGCCCCAGAAGAGCAAAGTATGGTTCTGGTCTGCGGCCCTGGGCCTATGGAGAAATCTGCCCGTGAAATTCTTCTTGCTAAGGGTTGGGCCGAGTCGGATCTTCACTTCTTCTAATTGTGGTGTATGCTTGGATTATGTCGATTTTGTGCATGAGAACATGAAATGCTTTTTGGATTGGAGTTGTAATAATAAGGGAAATGCGACAGAAAACACGCCATTTGGAAGGGTATAGAAACATTGGGATTGCATTTGCGTACAAATGAAGTGAATTTTGAAAGAATTTCGTCAATCATGAATCGTAACATGTCCAAGAAGTAAAAACAGAGTGATAAGCGTTCCAGCCAAGATCCAGTAGGTTGTTCTTTACACATTCGGAACGTGTAGTAGCTGCTTCCTTCGATCAATAGTAGTTCTTCACGTCTAGTCTCACCCGTAGATGTTCAAAGACACTGGTTGGGTCTGTCCGCGAATAGAAAAATTTCCCTGATTTAGCCATTGATTTTGAAGTGGCTTTTCCAGACTCCAGGTTGCGAAGGTAGTTGACAAAGGCGGAGACCTGTTTTCTAAAAGACTGATAGAGGTGTAGAGCAGCTCCTTCACTTTCGTTACGCATCCCGATTCCATCTGCTCTTGACAGAAGACTAAAGGTGAGGATAGTGCCAAAAACGGATTCAAGCAATTTGGCCGCCTGTGCATGGCGCTTGCTGAGAAATAATGCGAACAGCATTTGGTCAAGAATGTCTTCGTGATAATCACGAAGTCGTGGTACCGAGTGCGCCGCTTCAATCGTACCGTCGATATCACCACAGTTGACGCAGCGTTCAATCTTGGTAAGTGTATCTTGGAAGCGCTGCCAGGTGGATCCAACGCCAATGTGGAAGCAGTAATCACTGACTGCTAGAACAAAGTGTTGGGCATCAACTCTAAACTTCTGGTATACATCCCGTGACCCTCCTGATAGGGACCTTCGAGCAGTAGAATCACGGATAAGTCCTTTGACGGCAGAAACCATGCGGATTAACCGAAGTAAATACTTGAACAGACGATCATACTTATCCAAAGACCGAACAGTAATGAGGGATTCGAGGACTTCTGGTGGCGTGTACTGCAGACGAAGGAAATCCAAAGCCTCTATTGCATTCGGATTCTTACATCCTTCGATTTCTTCGTCTGTCAATTCCCGAATTCCGAAGCTCATACCACCAGGCAACTCGTTATCCTTTTGAGCGTCGGTTTTCTCGTCATCCTCTGTGTTTGTGCTGCCAAAGTAACAATCTCCTAGCAGGCCAATCAACACGAGTCGCAACTCTGAACTAGCTGGCGGCCATGTGTCACGACTACCGAGGCGTAAACCGGTGCCAACACCACTGCGCACTTTCCCAGCCTTGCGCTCCCCGCTTTCCATTTCCGGGTCGAATAGGGAATGAGAAAGGCGGGCGACAAATGAGCCCTCTCCCAACAACTGGAAGCGCCATTGCATGTTCAGATGATGACGAAGTCGATGCTCCTTGAAGAGAAGGTGTAGGCAAGAGTAGTCGATGAGAAGTGCCTGT